CCAGTGGGTGGTGGGAGTCAAAACGCAAATATTGGTCTGTGTGGGTGGGCTTACGATATACGCCAGTTTCCAACCATATACGCCAGTTGCCTGAAACTCTCAGACTGAAGAAGTCTCTTGGAGGAGAGACGAAACGTTTCATTAGAGAAGAACCCGTCCAGAAGACCTATACAATTTTTTTCTTTTTGATTTTTCAGACAGTTCATTCAAATGATACATTGATACAGCATTAGTTCATTATATTTTGGCAAAATGCAGTTTATGCACACAATTAAATCAAAACCCTGTATCTGCCTATTTTTCCACTTTTGGACTTAATCCTCGTTTCGATGTGATGGGTCACATGAGAGTCACAACACCTGCTGAACAGGATGTTTTGTGCAAGATTAATTTCTTAATACAATATCTTAATCTGAATCCCTGGCATGAATTTGCCTGTTTTAAATTCACCAGTATTTAACAAACCTTTGCTCTAACGGTGATGTCAGAGCACATGGGTTACTCCACATGTTTAGAAAGGCTGAAGCTGTTGGCTCTTTTTCATTGTTTTGTTATTCATAATGTGAAAAACGGCCCTGTGATGGACTTGCGACCTGTCCAGGGTGTACCCCGCCCCTCGCACTGTGACTGCTGGAAATGGGCACCAGTGACCCACGCGACCCTGAAAGGAAGAAGCGTGTACAGAAAATGGATGGATGGATGGATAATGTGAAAAACTAAATCTTGCAGTCACAGAAATGAAACTTTTCTTTTGCTTCTTCTGTCGTCATGTATGATTGTTGTCATATTCCTTCTTTTTATTTTATTTTTATTATATTATTTTGCTCCCTTTCCGAGCTGACAGTTCACCACAGGTGCAGGGCTTTTTAGTTCTGCTGGACGCCTGTCACATTCCCATTAAATTTGTGTGATGAAAGCTGTAATTAAAGGCAGTCGATAGCTTTTCTCAAATGTTGGTTGAAAAAAAACAAAGTCAAACTGAATTCTTTTGTGAGCCGGAGCTGCAGTTTGAAGACATTTAATTTCACTATAAATTGTACTGAATTCAAGTCAACTGTTCCTCCAATAAATTGTGAAAATGTTGACAATTTTCTTTTAATTAGCCCCAGGGAGAATATATAGCACTGTGTCAACGTCTAATGAGATATAAGCCAGTGTGTTGGTGCAACAGCAAGATAAATAAACTCTTTGTTTGACTAAATCATGTTTGGAGTCAGGCTACGTCTACATAGTCTGTGCTAAATAAACCAGTCATATGTCAGTATTCTCCTTTTAGCTACAGTCTGGCTAGTGTTTTATTAATTTTTTGGCTAATTTTAGCATTTAGCTACACTTTTACTAATTTTATTTTATAGCTACTATTTGGCATATTTCAGCTTTCAGCTAAAGTTGAGCTAATTTTAGCTTTTAGTCATAGCTTTTCTCCTTTTTATTTTTTAGCTGAAGTTCTCTTTTAGCCTCTCTTCACGTTGTTTCAACTTGAACTCAGCAAACTTCAGCGAGGTCATTAAGCACTCAGTATTTCCACAGAAAGTACCATTTGTCTGGTTCTGATTCGGAGGTCTTACTGTGACCTGTGTGTATTAAACAATGTCACAAGGTCGTTTGCAGTTTTAGATATTTTTTTTAACTTGCTGCCAAAGCATGTGACTCATTGTGACTCCAAATTCTGCCCCCACCCCTGTGAGCCATGAGCAGGTGTTGGGCTCTGATTGGCTGAGAGGAGGGCAGGGCCTCATCCTCTGTTTATAGCCCAGCTTGTCACATCATGAACATTCTGCACTCCGTCTCCACCGTTAATGCTGAAGACCTGATTCTTATCGCTTTGTTTTTCCCGGGTGCTGATGTGGTCAAGTCTGTTTTACCAACACACAGTGAGGCGATCATAGTTTTTTACCTTATTTTTTTCCAGCTTTCTTTGCTTTTCCTTCTTAGTGCCAGGGATTTGCATTTTCCCTCTGTTTGTTTTGGCTTCCACATTTTGGTCAGCGCGGCAGATCATCATGACCTGGACACCAAACTCAGAACTGTTCGACTGCAGCTGAAGTTTGTTCGTTCTATTTTTTTCTCCAATTGAAGAAGCATTCAAACCTTCTGACATGTAATGGAAATAATTCTAGTTCGCTAAATGTTAGCCGAGGGTTGTTTTTTTTAACGTAAATTTTAAAATTGGTTTTTATTTCTGTGACTTGGCTCGGTCTTTTGGGTGGTGAGGACTGTTAATGCTGCCACAACTGTGCCTGAGACCACATGATGTGTCACTGTTCTATTTGTGAACCAAATACCTGAAAGGTTTGTTCACAGAGGCATCTGTGTCAAACTACCACTTAGAAATGTCCGTTGCATTTCTCGTCGTCACCCAAAGCAGATGGTTCGGTCGGCCACAGTTTCCTTTATTTACCTTTTATTTAACCAGGCAAATCCCACTGAGATCACAGAGCATTTTTTAAAATGTTATTTATTTACCTTTTTGTCTGTGGGAGGAAGCCAGACTGTACTTTTAGAAAACTCTCACAGGTACTTAGAGAACATAAACTACACACTGAAAGACCCCTTTTATGAACTGGGAAGCAACAATGCTAACCCTTAGCACAAAGTAGTATATGCAAGAATCCATTAAGCATACTAATTTTAAACTTAAAATAAAAAAGTATACTTCCAGTTTCCTCCGCAGGGTAGCTAGGCTCTCCCTTAGAGATAGGGTGAGAAGCTCGGTCATCCGGGAGGGACTCAGAGTAGAGCCGCTGCTCCTCCACGTCGAGAGGAGCCAGTTGAGGTGGCTCGGGCATCTGGTAAGGATGCCTCCTGGACGCCTCCCTGGTGAGGTATTCCGGGCACGTCCCACCGGGAGGAGGCCCCGAGGAAGACCCAGGACACGCTGGAGGGACTATGTCTCTCGGCTGGCCTGGGAACGCCTTGGAAGTTCCCCCGGAGGAGCTGGAAGAAGTGGCTGGGGAGAGGGAGGTCTGGGCCTCCCTTCTGAAGCTGCTGCCCCCGCGACCCGACCCCGGATAGACGGAAGAAAATGGATGGATGGATGGACTTCCAGTTTACTTTTTATGTACCTATCTGAGATATACTTAACCAAGTTTTTATCTTACACTTTACTTGGCTTGTACTAAAAGTATACTAAAAGTTTACTTAGTTTATACTATTGTTTAAACTTTTGGTCTAGATCAACTTTTGTAGTACACTTTTCACACAGACTGGTTTATTTGTAGTATATTTCAAGATTAAACTAAAACTATACTTCGATTACTTTCAGTATACTTTGGGATATACTTTCATAAACTTTTTGTGGGCCAATTTAGTCCTAGTATATTTGTTAGTAAACTGCTAGTACACTTACATCAGTTTACATGGTAAATAAAAATACACTTAGGGAAATACACTTTTATATACTTCAGTATACTTAATGGCATGTACTTAAAGTATACTTCTTTTTCGTATCAACTTAAAAAGACATAACAGTATACTTAAAGTATACTTTTTATAAACTAAAACTATCCCAATTTAGTACAAACAAGTTTTTAAATCAATATACTTTCTAGTACACCAGAAGTACATGGTACCTAGTATACTTGATATACTGTACTAAAACTTATACTCAAGTATACTTATTAAAATGAACTTCAAGTATACTACTTTTTGCTAAGGGAATCGCTAACCACTGAGCCGTCGTGCTGCCGTATAAAAAGGACAAAGTTTGGGAGAAAGTTAAATTAAACTAATATGAAAGCAAATCTGCAGAATGAATGTTGCTGTAGCAGCGTTAAAGTACATTAAGTATTCAAAGAAGTAACTTCCAGGTCATGAAACACTGTTTGATGCCGTTCTTTACTAAACTGAGCAGTCGCTTAGCATCTATTAGCCGAAGCACATTAATCCCATTCTTCCTGTGTTGTTGGTTTTTTTTTCACCAGGTGTTCCCACGTGCAGCGTTCCAATAAAAAGCGATGATTCTGGCAGCGTTACAAGAATTTGGGAAGCAGCTCTTGAGAGTGAAGGTCGTGGACTGCAGCTCGGACGAATCCCGCCTGTCTCGATGCCTCAACACGTTCGACCTGGTGGCCCTGGGGGTGGGCAGCACGCTGGGAGCCGGCGTCTACGTTCTCGCCGGCGCCGTCGCTCGCAGCGCCTCCGGCCCGGCCATCGTCCTCTCCTTCCTCATCGCCGCCCTGGCGTCCGTTCTGGCCGGACTGTGCTACGCGGAGTTCGGAGCTCGCGTTCCCAGAACGGGCTCGGCTTACCTCTACAGCTACGTGACGGTCGGGGAACTCTGGGCCTTCATCACGGGCTGGAACCTCATCCTCGCTTACATCATAGGTGGGAGGGTTGGAGTAATGTCGGGAAGGAGTTTCCTACCAATATGTATGTGTGAAGAAAAGATACTTAAGATTCTGAGGAGGGTTTTTGTCTCTGCACAGGAACGTCGAGTGTGGCCAGGGCATGGAGCGCAACTTTTGATGAGCTGATTGGAAAACACATCGAGACTTTTTTCAGGCAATACATGACCATGAACGCCCCGGGAGTCCTGGCAGAGTATCCAGACATCTTTGCTGTTGTCATCATCCTCAGTCTGACAGGTCAGGAAGACATCAGATGTGCTTTTTATCAGTTTACTTGGATTTTTTTCTCATATTTTCTTTGGTTTGCAGGGCTTCTTGTATTCGGAGTCAAAGAATCGGCCTTGGTAAACAAAGTGTTTACTTGCATCAACATCCTGGTGCTGGTGTTTGTGGTCATCGCAGGCCTGGTTAAAGGAAACCTAAAAAACTGGAACTTGAACCCCGAGGAGATCCTTAACGTTACTAAAAACTCGAGCCTAAAGTGAGCGACATTAAAATTTGTCATCCAAACATCGTGCCTAAGGGTAAGGTGGGTTTAAAGTAATCAAATGTTATGTTCTTTTTACTTTGAGTCTGTCGTGTCACTTAGAAGACGAGAAAGGTCTTGGTAAAGGTGGCTTTATGCCTTTTGGCTGGACTGGGGTCCTCTCTGGTGCTGCCACTTGTTTTTACGCCTTTGTGGGATTTGACTGCATCGCCACTACAGGTGAGAGTGCAAAGATAAAATGAATAATGACCGTCCGACATGCCCGTCACGTCTGACAATTCCAGTTTTGTTCTCCCCTCAGGAGAGGAGGTGAAAAACCCCCAGAAGGCCATTCCTATCGGCATCGTGGCCTCTCTCCTCATTTGTTTTGTGGCTTACTTTGGAGTATCGGCGGCCCTCACTGTGATGATGCCGTACTACATGCTGGATAAGAACAGCCCTCTTCCAGTGGCCTTTAAGTATGTGGGCTGGGAGGGAGCCACTTATGCAGTGGCCATTGGCTCTTTGTGCGCTTTGTCGACCAGGTAAGTGGGTCTCCTACTGGCTCTCAGCATGAAAAGTCACAGAGGACATGTAGCTGTTCAGCAGGGATCTTTAGAAACGAATTATTCATTTTAGGCTCGCTGCATTTTTCTTGCTGTTAGGTAGGCAAGATAAATTAAGTGTTTTAAGTTGCATTTTATCACCCAGATGATAAAATATGTAGCTTCATTTATTAAACTTTGTGTAAGGGTATTTTTGTAAAATACATGAGAACCAACAACAGTTTAGAGCAGTGATTCTGTCTGGTTTCAAAACCCAACATCTGGAATTTAACAACTGATGGACAAATAAGGCATTGTTCTATTCCATTCTATTCTACTCTATTCTATTCCATTCCACTCTAATTTATTCCATTCTATTCTGCTCTATTCCATTTGGTTCCATTCCATTATATTCTGTTCCACTCTATTTTATTTCCTTCTATTACATTCCATTCTATTCTACTCTATTCCATTCCATTTCACTCTGTTTTATTGTATTCCATTCTATTATATTCTGTTCCACTTTATTTTTATTTCCTTCTGTTACATTCCATTCTATTCTACTCTATTCCATTCCATTTCACTCTAATTTATTCCGTTCTATTCCATTCTATTCTACTCTATTCCATTTGATTCCATTCCATTTTACTCTATTCTATTCTATTTTATTCCACTCTATTTTCTTCCCTTGTATTACTTTTTATTCTACTCTATTCTGTTCCACTCTATTTTATTCCCTTGTGTTCCATTCCCTTCTGTTCTACTGTATTACATTGGTTCCATTCCATTCTACTCTATTCTATTCCATTTCACTCTATTTTATTGTATTCCATTCTATTATATTCTGTTCCACTCT